CCCCAAAACCCCAAAACCCCAAAACCCCAAAACCCCAGACTTGACCTGTTGTGTTGACTCAATTAAATAATATATATAGATTTAAAATGGACGACTCACAGTCCAAGTTTAGGCCTCTCCTAGATGAGGCAACACCTACCGTACAGAAGGTTGACCCTGAAAGCAAGTCTGAGAGTATGATTTGGCGAAGACGTAATAAAATAATTTGAGATTTTGAGTTTTATGAATAAAGATTTCGTGTCTCAAGCTCCAGCTTGGGCGAAATGTGGTTTTTATTTTAGGTGAATAGCAAATAATCTCATTTCATAGCCTCTAGAAAAATTTTAGCATTAGCAGAAACCTTAAAAATATCACCCTTTGGTGCGATTTTTGTAGCATTAAAAAAGAATAGATTTTTGCGAGTTATCCAAAACATTTATTCTTGATTAAATTTTTATTGGATAATCTGTACTATATTGTGTTTATTGATTCCAAAATTACTAATATCATACGATTGGAAATGAATTACGTCATTGCTGTTTGAAAATCATGAGGAAGTAATCTAACAATTCTTTACAGCTAGCGAGAAGGATATCTTAATATCTACAAAGAAACCAAGACTACATCCAGGTTTGTCAGGGTAATATTAACATCGTAATTTTGTAGAAGCTTAGCAAAAGCTGAGGCTTATGCCCTCAAACACGCATCAGGTAGGAATCTTGAAGATGATTCAGATGAGTCTGAAATGGATGATGCTTTCAAACAAACTCTTGAAGATGCAACGCCAAATACAAAGAGAAAACTACTTGATGAAGCTGAAGATGAGAAAAAGGGCAAGATAGGTCCAGTAGCTACTTTCTTTACACTCATTAAAGGATTTGTCGGAACTGGAATTTTATTTGTCCCAAAGGCTTATTATACTGGAGGATGGGGATTCATGTCAATTGCCTTAACCCTAAGTGCCCTGCTTACCTGCTTCGCCTCTGTAAAGCTTATCCAGATTAGGGCTAAGTACAAAATGAATTACTCTGAGATAGGCTTTAAAGCTTATGGAGCGTTTGGGAAATTCCTGGTTGATTTCTTCTTATTGCTCACCCAATTCCTATTTGTGACTGCTTATATTACATTTATCGCAAATAGTATGAATAATGTTCTCAGAGAACACTTTAATTATGAGCTTAACAAATGGATCTATGGAGGGATCTTGTTCGTTTTATTTAGTTTGATGTGATGGGTCAGAAAAATTGAGAAATTTGCAATCTTCCATATTTTTGCCGATGTATCCATCGTAATTGGTATCACAGTTATCTGTGTGTATGGAGTGAAGGAAGGAGTCCAGAACGGATTTAAGACAGACAATAATTTCATTAATACTGATACATTTTTGACAGTTATTGGATTTGCAGCCTATTCATATGAAGGAATTGGTCTAATACTGCCAATCATGGAGACCACATCAAGACCAGATATCTATCCTCACATCCTAGTGGGAGTTATACTCTTATTAAACTGTATATTTATGTTCTTTGGAATCTTACTATATTTTTCCTTCGGAAGAGACAAAATTAGCTCTAAACCTTTGGTCACCGACATCTTACCTTCAAAAGATATCCCAATCACAATTGTTGAGATAATATGGGTGATCAATATTATTTTGACATATCCACTCATGTTTTATCCCTCCCATAAAGTTTTTGAGAGTTATGTGTATGCTGGGTTTAAGAAAGGGCAGCTACGTAAATGGCTCAAAAACTTAACAAGGACCATATTTGTCTCATTCACAGTCGTCTTATCTCTTATCCTTGCTGATACACTTGATAAACTAGAATCCATAAATGGAGCATTTGCCTGTATTCCGATGGCCTTTGTGCTCCCATGTTTGTTCCATTACAAACTTTTAGCAGAGACCAAACTTCAAAAAATTATTGACTTGACAATAGTGGGATGCAGTCTTGTCCTAATGGTTGTATGCTCAGTGATGACGTTCCTCAAATGGAATGATTAGTTAAAATTACCTAATCTTTCAACGTCCACTGAATGTCATGGGGTTTTGGGGTTTTGGGGTTTTGGGGTTTTGGGG